TCCCCGCGTCCCGACGTCCCTCCACGGGCAACGGGCACTTTTGCCCATTTTGGGGATGACCACTCAAGAGCTGCCCACTTGCTGCCACGGACCCGGGGCTCCCTCGAGGCGGACGCTGCGCCCACACAGCCCGGCCGCGCCGCCGCTCGCTCCCCGCGTCCTCTTCCCCGACGTCCCTCCACGGGCACCTGAAAGGTCCCACGAGGACGTAACTCCACAAGACCAGCTGCAGCAGGTCCGATCCAAGATCCGGCTGGGCTCGGACCTGTCCCAGGAGCAGCTAAGGCATCGCCTAGGAAGGGCCTAAGACCACAGCGGGGGTGCAGTACTAATGTTGAAGCCCCTCCGCCACCCTGCAGCTCAGGGACGTCCTGAGCCAGAAGTGGCATCTCTGTATTTAAGAGTTTCTGTCATTTTTTTCCTTCTGGGAATTTATCCAGCCGATTCTGAACCAGCGCAAAGAGCCGGCACCTGCAGCATCTCGCTGCACGGAGGTCACCAGCGTAACTAACCGCTGCGTGAAGAACCATCGCCTTCCCTTCGCTCTGAACCCGCCGCTTACCGGTTTCACTCGATGTCTCCCAGGCACCCTCCGCGAAACCATTTCCAGTTCTGCCTCCAAAGTGGGGCAACGGGAAGCGCCTGGGGTATGGAACGCGGGGGCACAGCCCAGATCCACTCGGGATGGGACAGAATAGAAGTTATAGAAACAATAAAGAAGATAAGGCCAAACCCACACAAAAGCAGACGGAGCTTTCTGGGAAAGGGGTTCTTTTTTGGATCGCTTTTACTAAAAAGCCACATCGAGAAGGGAAGACAATCTCCTCCCAGAAAGTGCTTGTACAAGACCTCAGTTTCTGTAGCTTTGCGTTCATTTGCGTCACGGCAGCACCCGCAGCCACGAGGCACCAGTCGAACACGCGAGACGAGCCCCTTCATCTGACGGGGTAAGCGGAGAGAGAGCGACAAGTACAGAGAAACTTCAAAAAGAAATAATCTTTTATCAACATTAATCATGACACGCCAGACCTCTCTCAATTTGCAGACTGAAGAGAACAGAACGGGAGAGGCAACCCATGAAGCATAATTAAAACAGAACGGGCAGAAGGGCCTCACATGCTACATCCCGACCTCGTTTCCACCGTTCAGAGAACGTACGGGCTCTTAAAACTAAAAGTGTCTTATTCTCAAATATGTTTCTCAACGCTACTCCTGACGAAGTGTTACGTAGCAGGGCGAGCTTTACACTTGCAGATTAAACATCACCTAAAGCTTTTTCTTTTTTGAGTTGGAAGTTCTCTTTAAAGAAAGTCTACCTTGCTAAGGATCTGCCTTTTTTTCCTCCGACTGCACAAACCCGACAGTTTATGCAGTCACTTGCACCTCCCAGTGCACGAACGTTATTTCTCAAGGCAAGTACCCCAATTCTCAGCTTAAGCCTATGAAAAACTCTTACTCTCCCTGTTACAAGGGAATTAAAACGGTTTCCCAGAGAGGAATTCGGAGGATCTCGCAATTCCCGTGCGCGTTCCTGTGAAAAGACTCGGGTGAGGAACGGCGAGTTTCTACCTCCCTTCCACGCCTTTCCCGCCTCAACTTCCCAAGTACGCCGGCAGATGCCGCGCCAAAGGATTACCCGATCTTTACCCCGCTTCAGTCAAGTGTGTTCTGTTGTCCCTCAGGCTAAGCTTTGGACTGGAGTAACTGTTGACCTGCCGGCGCCTTCCGATGCTTACCTTACGCTACTCTGTTTATTTGTATTTTTAGATTCATTGCGCAGGTTGTTCAGGTACGGCGGCAGGGCGTCGTACCACACCGGTCAACGGCGTCTTGAAAACGGGCTGCTTTGCTCTACAGCGAATTCCTCCTTGGATATAGGAGGAACAGAACCGCCCCACCTGAGTAACCTCTGAGCCTTAACAGCGTTTCACATCCCGCAGCACTGGGCATAAATCTTTAGTGTTTTATGTTTTAGTGTTATTTTTCCACGGAGCCTGGAAACACAATGTTTAAATACAGCTTCAGAAATAACTATTTTTGAAGTTTATAACAGTACGACAGCAACACGTGGAGGGAACGATTACTCTCGCACATGAACTATTTGTTTAATCATTCTGGGCTAAGCCGAGGCTCAATCAAGGCAAAATTCCTGCCAGCAGCAGTGGGACGGGAAGGAGGGTCTGTATGAGGAACAAAACCAACAAAACTCATCTTTTTTGAAGCTGGATCTCTGTGTTAACATCTCTGCGCTTTTTATATCCTAAGCAGAGAACACTTCAGCAAGCCGGTGCAGTGAGACGCTGTAAGAAGCTGCATTTCTCTCCGTGTGTACTCGGAGTTTCAGGTGAGAGGGTCGGGATGTTGGGCGAAATCCACCTGCCACACCACAGCCCTTCCGCGTACAGGCGAAAGAAAACTGACACAGAAGTTTTCACCAAGTCATAGATAGGGCGTCTCTTCCCGATTCTTCCGTCACTCATTTCTCAGGAGGCAAGTCATTTCGGAACGGTCCGACTCCGGATTTCCCCTGCACATCTGAACTTTTACTCTTCAAACAGGACCACGGAGTAGGCTTTACAGCAACCACGACTGCTCCAGCCGTTCGCCCTCACCGTGCCCACCGCCAGCCCGAGGAGCTCATCTTTCGGTGCTTCTCACGTGGGAGACACCTGGTTTTATTACTGAACCTCTTAAACAACAAAACGGAGCAGAAACGTTGAAGATTCGCTCAGCATTTTGAGCAAGTGAAACACTACACGCTGTCGCCATTTTGGATAGCCACGCTGCCTGCGTGGCTTTCCGTCTCCAACTCCATTTAATCCCTGTCTCCACTTAAACCTCTAAACAAGGTGATTATTTGCATTTCGGTGCATACAAAGTCTCAGATTTAAGCGACCGTCTCTGCCTGGTCGGATGCTCCTTAGCTCTGTGCTTCCAAGCGGGGGAAGGAGGCAGAGCTTCCTACACGAGGTCTTTCCTCCGGGATTTACTTTCAGCAGCTCCTGAACAAACCGCTGCAGGCGTGCGACCACACGCCAGATTCAGCCCCGCTATTCCAGGTGTTCTTCAACTGCTTCACGGAAGGGCCCGCAGTTTTGGTAGGATGGTGTTTTACAGGATTTGCTCCACAAGGAATCGCCTCGCTCCAAAGAATCCTCATTCAGGAGCACACAGCGTACTTGTGACCACTAAGGCATTAAGCTGCGTGGGGGAAGAATAAAAGAAAAGCTGTCCCCAGGGCAATTATGAGAAGGAAATAATGAGAAGCCAGTGATAAAAAGAGTTTTCTGGACATTACTCCCGTATTTGGGATGGGCAGGGATCCCTCGGGGCCAAGTGTATTCCCCCAATCCCCTTCAGAAGTTACCGAACGCCACCACAGCACCAGCTGTTTCTTGCTCTGCTGCTCCTCACGGGAAGCCGAGGACACCGACTTCACTCACGGGCTCACCGCGAAGCAGCTGCTTGAACTGGCGGCAACGCGACTTTTTCACTCTTTGCACCCAACTGGAATAAGCAAAAAACGCTGAACATCGCCAGCCTGGGGAGAGAAGACGCGTGATCTACAAACGCTGTCTCTCCAGGACTCCCCTCCTGCCTGCCGATCTTGTCCCTGTAGCCGAAGCTGCTGCTTGCTTCCTGGCTTGTAGCGACACCTCTACTTTGCACGTGCGTTAAGAACACGCCCGTGCTCTTTTTCAGAACCTCGGAAATTAAACGGGCGTCTCGCCCCCAGTAAACAGACGTTTGAAGCAACCGACTCCGGTCGTCGTTTCCACGGGACAGTGCTTTCACTGCCACCGCTGCTGTCCTACGACGGTAACCGCTGAACTAAAAACTTTTTTATTTTTCATTGCTATTTTGACATCAAACCCAAGCATTCACCTTCACCTACGCTCTCAGAAGCTCCGTTGCCTGCTTACAGCTCTGCGGACAATCCTGTTCTGATCGTGACATTTTCTCAGCCTCCTCGTACCTGAAAAACTCCCAGCACTTTTCTGCATTAATACAGACATTCTCTAGCGTGCGCCGTTTGCTGCACCAGAAGATTTTTTTAATAATGCTTTTGGTACAGTCAACGCTGCTCTATACCACTCCTCCTCCCAGATATGAATCATCTAGCTGCTAATTAAAATCAGCTCCTAATCAATGGAGCTGGCGCCAACCAGACGCTTTTCATGCTTGAACTTGATTCAGTCTTATTAAACTGTCTTACCCTAAAGCTTCCCCTGTAATCAATATATGACTATAAGCCATCCTCCCTGGACGGAGAGGGATTTTTTGATAACTGAACGGAAAAAATCTATCCCAGGAAAGCTTCTGGCACACCGGTTACATGTATACGTTGTGAGTTCGCAAGTGATTAGTGAGTCTCGGTTTTTCCATAAAACTCTTGTCACATTCCGTACACTTGTAAGGCCTCTCCCCCGTGTGAGTTCTCCGGTGGCGAATCAAGTCTGCATGGCGACCGAAGCTCTTACCGCAGTCTGTGCATATGTACGAGGATACCCGATTCTTTTTGGTGTGGATTTGCTTATGTTTTAGAAGTCCAATTTTCAATTTAAAAGTCTTCTGACATTCTGTACACAGATACAGTCCTTCTCCGGCATGGGTTTGCTGATAAAAAGGGATCTCTCTGAATTCACTAGATTCTCCTTCCTCAGGAGAGCTGTTACCTCTTCTGCTTCCCGCTGGATTTGCCTGATCTGCTGCTGAATTCTGACGACTCTCAGATGTCACCCCCTTGTCCGGAATTTGGCCAGTCAGGTCTCGGGATCCTCCTGAGAACGACCCACGCAGTTCTGTATTTTCTGAACTCTTTGCGCGACTCTGCAACTCGGATCTGACCACAGTACCACCGCAGCCTGGAACAGAAAGATTCCAAACGTTCCCTTTATGTGACGTGATCTAACATGAATCTCCAAAGAACAACAATTCCTGATTCACCATGGCTACATCCATACAAAGAAAACAAGCTTTGGGTAAAAAAGCAGGGACGCACTAGAATCCCCCCCCCCTCTAATCCTACAAGCCCGCGCAGTTTCAACGTGTTGCCGATTTAATTTCCGACGCGTCTCAGACCACCACGCACCTGCGGCGAGACTTGCAGGAATCTCCCTTTCCTCAAAATCCCGCTGATCCTTGACATGCGGCGCTTCTCTTGCCCGGATATCGCTTTTGGGAACAGGATGGTCTGCACAGGGAACAGAACGTGGAAACGACGGTGGTTATTTTCCTCCGTTTTTTTTTCCACTGTTACAAAGATATCTCCTAACCTTCTTCAACTGTATTGATGTAGACAAAGGATAGGTTGCACAAGGACCAGTGCTGAAGACAGCTTCTTGCCAGCCTGTTCACTTTCCCTCTCCGAGCCCTGTAGTTTACTTACGCCCTTTTTTTGTAACATGACTCATTTCTGTTAATTTACATGAAAAATACTGCCTTTTGCTTTCTCAAAGAACAACAATTTCCTAGTTGTTCCCAGAACTGTAAGAAAAGTCTTTGTGATGCTGTTTTCCAGCAAACACCTGCATAACCCGCTGTCTCTTTTACTCCGGGGAAAGGTCCAACGAGGAGGTAACAGCAAATGCAGCTTCTCTGGCATCTAGAGAGGGCGGCTGGGAAGCGGGCGAGCAATATTTGTTTTCCAATTTTTAAAATATTCCAGAAATTCTATCCAAAAAGGTGGAAAAGTTAAATGTTCAGAAGTGGACGGTCTCAAATTGATTACAGCCATAAAAGCGTAATTCAGCTGTCTGGTGCTGTATGTTATGATTCGGTCCCAACTGTCTTTCTGATACACGAACTTATTTTCCCCCAGCTAATCCCTCTTCACGCGATGCACAGCGCACACCTACTTTTTTAACAGATCAGAGCTGTACAAAAAACGGAGGCAGCTGTCTGCAGACTCTAGCTTTTCTACTGTGAAAAACAGAAGGTACGTAAAGAGTAAAAAAAAAAAAGTGGAATTACATTGCCTCATTATTTCATGAAATTTCAAATCTGGAAGTGCAGAAGTAGGAACAGAATGAGGTTAGGCTAAATCAGCGTTTCTTAAACGGAACTGAAGAGTGTCACAAAGCGCAAACTACAGTATGTGACAACTGAGGCTCCCGGGGCTCACAGCACTTCTGTTCCTCCAGCCCAGAGGACAAGTAAAAGCACTTTTAGCCCCTAATTACAGCAGGTTCTTCTTCTATTAATCCAAGGAATCACCTGAAAGCCGAGGAGCCAGTGGAAGCTCACACCTTCAAATTAAAAAAAAAAAAAAAAAGAAGACTTCAAACAAATGTATAGTTGGGCACTTAAAACTAACCAATGACCAATGCACGCTTCAAACATGTATAGTTGGGCACTTAAAACTAACCAATGACTTCTTCATTTTTGAGGGCACCGTTCATGTTATTTGACTATTTCTGCATCAAAATAGTTCAATGCTCTTTAGTGAATCACAAAACCCGACATCCGTCAGGATTTGGGGATGATGAAAACACTCACAACTTAACTGCAATTAACAAGTCCACCGAATTAGTGATACCATGTCATCGCAGCTCCCGAGCTCGTGCATCTAAACCTTCTCCACTCTCCTTTATTCCTTGTTTTAGTTAGCACGTGCGTTACCGGGGCACCGTCAGAGATCCTAAACCCCTCTACCAGGGGAAACCCTTTCACTCTGCGTTATTCTACCCGCATCATGCAGACAAGGCATCACCTACGCGCACAGACTGAGCGCCTGACATCAACAGAGCGCAGGGAGGCAGCAGTCGCGGAGGCGTTAGAAAAGTGACTGTCCTTCAGTCTTCTTTAAAGAAGAGATTGTGGAGCTGGTCGTCTCTCACAAAGATTCGGAAGTATCTAAAGATTAATCCACTAGAAACCAAAGGATTTGAGGAGTGACTGTTAGACAAGAGCCAGGCCAGAAACAGCACAGATCTGTTAGCCTTCAGCGAGAAAGGGAAAACTAACCTTTACCCAACGCGGTTAAAGATTCGTAATTCTCCTTTATCACTTTCTTGTAAAGTTCTTTCTGCCAATCTCCCAAGTCCTTCCCCTCACGCGCTGCAGCATTATCGCATGTCCCAGGGACCTAAAACGAAGCGTTCAATAGTCAACGCCACCGGAGAGTCGTACATCCCCGACAGCCCTCTTTTTCAAACAGTGGTCGCCAGCCAACTGTTTCTAGCAATGCCCACGTTACGTATAACCAGCATATTAACGAAGGACTTGACATACAGATCTTCTTCTGGCATTTCTGTACGTAGCTCAGAACGAGTGAAATTACTTAAAAACAATGCGACTCAACTGAAACGACGACTTCCTAGAACAACCGGGTCAAAAATTAGAGTGGTAAAAGAAATCTGCGGTCACCCCCAATACCCAGCCCAACCAAGGAATTCGGCTCTTCCTTACGCTGAAAAACAGAAAATACTCCAGAGCGTGTTTTAAATAAGCTCTGAGGCAGCGCCACAGTCTGTCGGATCTGGCTGCGAGAGTTCTTCCCTAAAAATAAAAGTTAACACAAGCAAAAAATTAAGCCCTACGACCGCTGGGAGATGAATACTGCATTTTTTGGCAACATATACGTACGTACTGCGTACATGCTTTCTATCTGTACTTTATATCTACAGAGTACCGTGTTCGAATACGCTTTGATTTGCCTGTTAACCTAACGCACATCGCACTGGTTCGGGTGTTTTGCAGCTTGCACCACGTATAAACCCGATCGGACAAATCCGCTGCCAAGAGAAATAACTAAGTTTCATTAATTTGTCACTAGATGGGATCGCAATCCAAATTAAATACACAGGGGAGAAGGCTGAGCGGAAGTTAAGCCTTTGTCTCGGCCCCAAACACCCACACCGTGGGCACCGTGCCACCAAGAAATCATCTCGGTGGCTCTAAAGGAAATTTTTCCAAGCGCGAGGACCGTCATGTACAAATACAGGTCCGTGGGGAGCGAACCCATTTCACCGCATGAACTGGGATTGCGTCTCCAACAAATAGCAGATTTTTTTCCCCCCCTAACGTTTAGGCACAAAATCGGAAGTCGAGCGCACAGAGCACCAAGAGGCCTTGAACTTCCCCCGTCACCGACCTCCCAGTGCCACCTCCGCGCTCCGCAATACCAGGGAGAAAACCGAAACCCGCTGCGTCGCTGGCAACGTTTTACTGCCGCGTCGCGTGTTTCACCTACTGCTGCCGCCTTGAAGTGCTTTACATGCAAATCTTCCTTTAATTTAAGGGAAGTAAACACAACAGCATATATCTTAATTACCCTCGAGTGCTCGGGATTCCGGATTCGTTTTCGAGTTTTATTACTTATCCCACCACAGAAACTTCGGGGTGTGCCAACGAGCCAGTTTCCATCTTCACCCAAAATGAATTTTTTGGGAACAGCTTCTTTCAGCAGACGTCTGTTTTTTCTAATTTTTAAGGGGTCAATTTCAAAGGAACTGTCCTCAAAATGCTTCGAGCACAGTCGCTGATGCTTGGACGGTGTTCCCATGTCCCGGCCCATGTTGTGAATCCACTGCTTCAAGAGAGGTTGATTTTGTAAAGGAAAGCCATAGAAAGTAACGGTACTGTTCTTGTACACCCCGCTGGTGGCATTTTGACAGTTCAGCGCCGAGCAATAAACCATCGTAAAATGAGAAACAGGAACAAATCCAAAAATATCGTGCCAGGAGGAGGGTTTAAAGGGTTTATCAGCAACTTCAGTATTCAATGGGCCTAAACTTCTCAAGAAAAAACATGGTTTTGAAAGACAGAAAGAGCTGAGGTCACGAAGAAGTGAAACACGGTGCTGAACTTCACTGCCAGAGACGTGGAGCTCACCACGGCTGATGTCTGCAGCCCACGGAGAGGAGGAGCCAGGTCCCCTTTCACAGCACGCGGCTTCCCCACTTCAAAGCGACAGCGTACAATCTGGAAGGCAAAAATCTTTAAAATCAGCTTAATGGACCGTTACTATGCAGATTTACATTTAAAGTGACTTCTGCTATGTACACATATATATGCACTTCATTAATTTGCGTATCCACAAGGAATCCTCCCACGCTCCACAACAAAGCTCATTATACAGTTATTCAGAAGGCAGCAACAAAAGGGTGATAGCCAAATAACTTCCAAAAAATGAAGATTTGTGTTTATACGTGGCGTCGGAACAAGGACTTCCCCATCGCATCGGCTGCCTGCTGGGGAAGGCGAGTCTCGGGGACGTCAGTCGGAGAGGAGATCTTCGGACAGACGCATTGAAAAGAGGAGAAAAACCACAGAGAGGCACCGTCAGAAAAGGACGATGATAGAAATCACCAGGGCACGCACCCGCACAAAGAACCCAGGACGAGAAAGAGCTCTGGGGAGCACACGGGGAACGTTTCTGGAAACAAACGTAGCCCAGACCTGACGGCAGCAACTGCTCTCACCATCACATACGCTTCTGGGAACACCCACGGTTCGTGACCCGTTCTGGTATCGGATGGAGGAGGAAATCGGGCACCTCTGCCCCAGGGCATTCTGCCAACTTGGGAGTCCTGCTGCGGACCCACTCGCTACCCCTTCCTGTGCACCGGCGTCCGGCGGGGCAGGAGGAGGCCGGTATTTCCCCCGGGGCCGACACCCGAGCTCTGTTCGGCCCCCACTGTAGGAAAACAGGGCGCCCCTCGCTCCTCCCGAGGCTCCGAGAGCAGCGGCGGCCCCGCTGCCGCCCCCTGCGCGTCTGCGCCTTACCCCCGCGCTCCACGGCTGCACAGCTGCGGGAGGAAGCAGGCACCGGCGCTCCCCTCCCCGTGCTGCGGGGCCGCCCCGGGCCAGGGCCCCGAGGGAACGCGCCCGTGCAGCCCCCGGGGCAGCGTCCGCGTAGGGGGGAGGC